CTAAGTGGAAAAGATCTCTGTTAGCCAATTACATGTGTCAGATGTCTCCAATACATCATTAATATTAGAGGCTTCAGTAAGCCTCTTATATGTTCTATAGGTCACAATGTAGATACATTATATGTCAAAGCCCTCAGGGAGTTAGAGGCCTAAAGGAGTATATTTTATCTGCCAGAGGTTTCAGGTAGAATATTACATGCTCCTAACTCTTCAGTGAGGCAATTAACTGGTCAGTGGACTCAGCATTGATACTTCATTGCTATCAGAGGCCTCCGTGAGGATACTATTACGGTTACAGGCCTCATTGAGAATACTAAATGGGTCAGAAGCTTAGCGACAATGGAGGATGGGTCAGAGGCCTGGGGATATCATATGCATCTGAGTCTTCAGAGAGAATATTTTGTGTGTCAGAGGCCTCAGCAAGTATAGGGGCTATAGGCCTCACTGTTTATATTACATGAGCATCAGAAGCCTGAGGGAGGACATTCAAAATGTGTCAGAGGCCTAACTGAGGATAATTTGCTTTTGAAGGGCTAAGGGAAGATATTGTTTGTCAGAGGCCCCAGAGCAGATACCAGGTATCAGAGGCTTCAGTGTAGGTAGAATGTGTGAGAACCCTGAATGAAGATTTCATTGATTTCAGAAGCAATGTTATTATCATAGGACTCAGTGAATATACTAGGTTAGTGTCAGAAGACAAGAGAGGACATTCTACGTATCAGAATCCTCTAGGAGTTTATAATATGGATTTCAAAGACCTCAGGGAAGATATCACATGATTCTTGGAGCTGTGAGTGGGGACATTTTAAGTTTCAGAGTCCTCGGGAAGTTGATTAGGGGTGTCAGTGGCTTCAGTGTGATTGTATATGAATGTCAGATGCCTCAGTGAGTATGTGATGTGGATGTCAGAGGAGGCATGGAGGATATCCTATCAGGGTCAGAGACACCCAGGAGAATTCTAAATAAATACCATAGTCCAAATGAGGATATGCAGGGTTTAGAGTCCAGTGTACCTATGGTAAGAGTAGGAGTACTCTGTAAGCCTATTATATACCTTAAAATCTTCATGTGGATATTTACTGTCAGAGTCCAGAGCAAGGCTATGAACTGATTGTCAGAGGCCTCAGTGAAAATCATACATATGATCCAGGACTCTGAAAACATTATGTCCAAGTCAGAGGCCTCAGAGGATGTGCAATGGGTCAGAGTCTTCATGATTGCCGCAGGACAGTTAGGACATGTTCTATGTTCAGGGCCTCAGTAAGTTGAGAACATGCATCTGAGGACTCAGTGTGGATAATATATGTGAGAGAACCCCCAGTAACACTATTATATTACTATAAACGTCCTTAGTGAGGAAAATATTTGATTGCAATAGACCTTGTTGAAAGCATTGCATATGTTTGACATCTCAGTATGTACAATCTATGGCTCAAATGTTTCATGAAGGAAATCCTATGTGCCTGAGGCCTCACAGAAAATATTATGGAAGTACCAGGCTACTTAGTAAGAACATTGCATGTTTTAGAGTCCTCAATGAAGAGAGTATACCACTGTCACATCCCTCAGTAGGATATTACAGGGTGGAATGCCTCAGCATTTGTACAGCTTGGGTAAGAGTCCTCTGTGGAGTTACTGTCTGTGTCAGAGACTTCAAGGGGATACTTAAAATTGTCAGAGGGATCTGTGTTGATAGGAAGGTACTGTCAGAGTCTTCAGTGATTTTTTTAATATTTTAGACAATAGGAATCTTTGCCAGTGAGGCTCTTAGGTGTGCCTGAGCTCTTGCTGATATATATTCACTGAGGGCCAAGAGGATTGAGGGAAGATATTTTTTGAGTCCCACAAGCCTCTATGAATAAGTTGTATAACTGTCAGAGGAACCAGGGAGGAAAGGATATGAGTGATAGAGATCAGAGTGAGGATATTGTACACTTAAGAATCCTCAATAAATAGAATAGGAGTGTTTATGGACTCAGTGAGATGATCAAGAAATGTCAGAGGATTCAGTGAGTATCCGATGTGTCAGAGAAGGACTCACTAAGGATATTACGTGAGTGTCAGAGACCTCCATGAGAATGTTTCATAAGCACCATAGACCTGAGTCTTGACATATATGTACTGTAATAAGAAGAGGACTCTGTTAGCATATTATATGTGAAAGTTCTTTGAGGATCAGAAGTGAGAATAATACATTTGTCAGAGGACATACTGAAAATATTCTGTCAAGGTCAGAGGTCCCAGTGAGGATGTGATATGGGTCAGACTTCATTGAGTTTATTTTGTTATCACCTCAGGCCTCAATTAGGGTTGTTGAATATTTGTGTCAGAAACCTCAGGGTAGATAGTATAAGTGTCAGAATCCTCACTAACTATTTTATATGACTGTGAAAGTCCTTAGTGAAGAAAACTTCTGAATATGAGAGGCCTGGATGAGGATATTGTCCTCAGTGAGTATATTTTAGGGCTCAGAGTTCTCAGTGAGGAAATTCTATGTGTCAGAGGCCTCCTTGAGAATACTGACGGCAGGCTAGGGTACCCAGTGAGGACATTGTATGTGATGAAGTTTTCAGGGTAGAGAGAATATCAGTGTGAAAGGCCTCAGTGAGATTAAGAAATGAGCACCACAGGCCTTCATTATGATCTAATATGTGTAAGAGGCCTCACTGAGAATATAATCTCTCTCAGACTGGTCGGTGAGGAAAATATGGGCTCAGATGACTCATTCTGTACTGTACATAGGTTAGACTCCTCAGTGGGGTTTTATATGTGTCAGAGACCTCAATGATACACATATGTCTCAGAGGACTCATTGTACCTCATGTTACTTTCAGAGACCTCAGTGATTTTTGGATGACTCTCAGAGGGTCTAAATCTGTGTGGACTTCGGGTGCCCCAGAGACTGAGTGTGATATTTCTTGAATGTCAGAAGCCTTGATTAGGATATTTCTGAATGACAGAAGCCTCAAGGTGGATATTGTATTGATCCCATTGTCCTGTATAAGGATTATATCCACTGCAGAGTCCTCAATAAGAATGTCATTAGTGTTTTGGGACTCAAATGAGATAGGGTGTGAATGTCAGAGGCCTCAGGGAGGATTCATGTTAGTGTTAGAGGAAGACTCACTGAGGATGTGATATGAGTGTCAGAAACCTTTCTGAGGCTATTATAAAAGTATCCAAGGCCTCAGTGTGGTTATTTTATGTGTCAGAGGCTTCATGAGGATATTATGTCAGAGTCCAGTGCCAGGGTATTACCAGAGTATCTGAGGCTTCACCAACAATTATGAATGGGACCAAGGTCACAGTACAGATATCCTGTTAATGGCAGAGGCCTGGATGATGATATGTGTCAGATTCTTCAGTGACAATATAATGTGTTTGTCACAAGCTTCACTTTTGACATTATATTTTGTAGAGTCTGCAATAAACTTACCATACTTGTCAGAGGCCTCAGTTTTCTCCTATAGAAAGGGGCCTCTGTGAGTACATGATGGCAGTGCCTGAGGCCTCAAGAAGACATTCTAAGTGGAAGAGACCTCTGTTATCCAATTATACATATCAGATGTCTCCAATACTTTATTGTTAGTATTAGAGACCTCAGTAGGCCTCTTATAGATACTGTAGGTGTCAATGTAGACACTATATATTTCAAAGACCTTAGGAAGTTAGAGGCCTCGGGGAGTATATTATACCTGTCAGATGGTTCAGGGAAGATGTTACATGCACCAGCTATCTCAGTGAGGCTATTCAATGAGTCAGATGTCTCTGTACCAGAACTTCATTATTGTCAGCAGCCTCAGTGAGGATACTATTAGGGTCACATGCCTCAGTGAGAATACTAAATGCATTTGAATCTTCAGTGACAATGGGACTTATGTCAGATGACTTAGGATATCATATGTTTTAGAGGCTTCTCTGAGAATATTATGGTTGTCAAAAGAGTCAGTCAGTAATATATTATATGTCAGAGCCTTCAGTGAAGATAGTACCTTTTTAAAAAGTTTCATGTGTTTAGTAAGAGCCCCGAATAAAAATATTATTGTGTTTCAGAGGCCTCAATATGGTTTTTCCTTATTTGTCACAGGCCCTCATATGGATAGTTTATGACTGACACAGGCCTCAGTGATGATATTGAGCATGTTAGAAACCTCTGTGAAGACATTATATATGTCAGAGCCCTCATTGATTGTATGTATAGAGGCCTCATTGAGAATATTATATGTGTCAAAGAACTTAGTTTTTTAAGTGAGTTTTAGAGATCTCATTGAGAATATTTTTATGTGACATATGCTTCCACAAGGATTTTATATGTGTGTCAAATGCCTCAGTGAAGATATTATATTTGTCCTAGTTCTCTGTGAGGATATCTTATCAATGTGCAGGACTTGAGTATAGACAGGTTATTTTTTAGGGGTCAATGTGTATGTGATATCAGCCAGTGGTATCATTAATGATATTTATTGATGTCATACTCATATTATTTTAGAACATAATATATATGTTAGAATCTTCATGAGGATATTATATTGTATTTAAAGCCTCAGTGAAATGTTTTATAAGTGTAAAAGGCCTAATTGAGGGTATTATACTATTCTTTGAGGCCACAATGAGGATATTATTTTAGTATTTAAGGCCTCAGTGAAGATATTATATGAGTTTCAAAGGTTTGTATGTGGACCTTATATTATAGCTTAAGGCCACTGTACGGATATTTATATGTGTGTTCAAGGTCACTCTATGGAGAGTATATTAGCATTATGGGCCTCATATGGATGTATTAACATTAAAAGCTACTCTAGAGATTGCATTCAAATTAGAGTATACATAAAAATGACAGTTATAGAACACTGTATGGACATTATTCTAGAGGACACACCTTGGTTGTCCGTGGAATCACTTGTCATTGTGTATTTCATTTCTGATAGGAAGCCTTCTCTCTGTTTGGTCTCTGAGGTCTTCCTCTGCACTCAAAGGATAGACAGAAAACTTTTACTCACCGTTGCAGGGCAGACATTGTTCCTTTGGTTGTCTATCCTCCAGTGAGGTTCTGTCCTCCCTGGAGTTGCTGCCTCCAGCCTGGACACTGTGTGGTTGGGTTAGGCAGCAGGATGCAGCACAGGATGCTGCAGTTCAGGAGTTTATGTGTGACTCTCCTAGCATTTCTGAAAAATGAATAAAAGTCAATACTGTAGTTAGATTATATGGAATGCCATGATTTTATAAGTTCAAGCAGAAATGAATCCCATAACCCATAATTTTTCAAAAAATGGTGATGAAACATATTTTTGGAAACTATGCTGAAATGAAATAAATGTAGACAGAAACTGAGGCCTTGGGTTCAAAGCCCAGCACCACATACACAAAAATTATATTTTCTACTCAGTGAAAAAGATCATTTAGATAACAAAAACGTAAGTCACAAATGGGTATAACTTACTTACAAAACACAATTTTTGAGAAAAAATTTTTATTTAAAACATATAGCCTGGTGCGGTGGTACATGCCTGTAATCCCAACACCTCGGGAGGCTGAGACAGGAGAATCATGAGTTCAAAGCCAGCCTCAGCAATGGGCAAGGCACTAAGCAACTCAATGAGACCCTGTCTCTAAATAAAATACAAAATAGGGCGGGGGATGTGGCTCAGTGGTCAAGTGCCTCTGAGTTCAATCCCTGGTACCAAAAAATAAATAAATAAGAATTTTTTTAAAAAAATACAAAGACCTCTTATAAACTAAAAACTAAAAACTAAAAACCCAAACAAAAATGGGTAAATATCTGATACATGACCAAATAAAATATGAAGGTGGCAAAGAGCTATATGAAATGATGCTCTAAAATTATGTATTGTTAGGGAATTACAAATTAAAACAATAGCATGGCACAGCTATTATAACTGCTAAACTTTAAAAGAATACAATATGTCAATAGCAAGAGGATGCAGGACATTAGTACTCTCATCCATTGCTGGTAGAACACATAGCAAAGCCACTTTGGAAGACAGTTTGCCAGTCTGACCAAAGCAAAACAAGTCTAATCTATGACTCCAAACAATTGCACCCCTAAATTATCTGAATTTACACAAGTGCTTTGAAAAACTTTATCCAACCAAAACCAGCATATAATTATACACAACAGCTCTGCTGTTGCTAATCAGATCAGAAATCAGTCCTTCAATAGCTGAATGCATAACCAAAGTAGAGTACATCCACACAACAGAATATATTCAATAATATAGAATAGAAAGGAATGAATTATCCACTTATGCAAAGATAAAGATGAATCTCATCTATATGTTAAGTGAAATAAGCCAGGCTGAAGAGTCTACAACCTGTACGACTTATTTTTATGACATTCTAAAAAAAGTAAAATGACTAAAAAGATAAGCAGACTAGTGGTTACAGGGAGTGGGACTTGCAGTATGGCACTTTAATGAAGGTTACCTAACATTATTTGAGAAAACATATGGAAATCTCAAATTTTATTACATTATTTAGGATTTGGTAAATACCCAAGGAAGTAATACAGAACATGAGAAAGAATCTAACTATATTACAAGTGAATGGATACATCCACCACAGATTGTAGGCAAAAGGTATAGACCTAAGCCATTTAGAAATGAGAAGGATGGGAAAGAACCCTTATAAAGGCTTCTTAAGGGAGCTGTTTCTACATTCTGCCATGAGGACATGGCTAGAAAACACAATCTATGAAGAGCAGGTCCTCACCAGACATTACACTTACCAGCGCCTTGGACTTGGACTTGCCATTTTTCAGAGGCATAGACAATAAATTTTTGTTGTTTATAAATTGTCCAGCCTAAAGTATTCTGTTATAGCAGCCTAAGGGAACTAAGACACTGATTTGTTATAAATAATAGACCTGAACAATCAGATGAGGAGATGTGCAGGATAAGACCCAGGAGGGTCCCCAGGGCACAAGCCTCTGTCCACATAGAACTAGGCTGTACTACCCTCCCTGCACATGGATACATTTGACCACTCAAGAGCTCCCTACCTCACTCCTTTTAGAGATGTTTTGTGGAAACTTAATCATGTAGGCATGATGGATTATTAACTCAATCCCCAGCTTCTTTCTCCCAGTAGATATGGTGATGAAGGTTCTAAACTTCTAAACCTGTCTTCATCTTTCTCATGACCATCCTCCATCCTGAAGCTGTCCAAGAGACCATCAAGAATCCTTATGAGAACAAAAGACATTTCTATCATCCAGGAGATTCCAAAGGATTTGGGATCTCTGTGTAAGTAACCAAGGTCAGAGGACAAATATTAGAACAAAAGATGTCCTTAGCATGCCTATCACTCAGCAAGTATGAGAATTTTATGAGCTCTCCACCAGAAATGGGGGGCAGAGGCTAAATATGCATTTCTTACATCAAAACCTGTAATCTGGAACAATAATGAATTAATTGTGCATAATGGGACAATGAATTAATTAGAAAGCAGATGCTAGAAACCAGGTTTCTCATTACTGAGGTTGGAAATTACAGATAAGCAAGGGGGGTAAGGTGGGGAGCCTAGAAGGCTCGGTGCCATAATGGATCACAGTCCATTGCCTGCAGATCAGAATAAACTCACATTTAGCTTAGTAGAAACACAGATGTTCCCACATAAAAGAGTTATAATTAGGTGTGTGTTTAGATTAAAAATTACATATAGCAAATTAAAACTACATTGAGATTCCATTTCACTCCAGTCAGAATGGCAATTATAAAGAATATAAGCAACAATAAATGTTGCAAAGAAATGGGGAGAAAGGTATACTCTCAGACACCTTGGTGAGACTGCAAATTGGTGTAACCACTATGGAAAGCAGTATGGAGATTCCTCAGAAAACTCGGAATGGAACCACCACTTGACCCAGTTATCCTACTCCTTGGTCTATAAACAAAGGACTTACAGCATACTACAATGACGCAGCCACATCAACATTCATAGCAGCTCAACTCACAATAGCCAAGCTATAGAAACAACCTAGGTGTCCTTCAATGGATTAATGGATAAAGAAAATGTGGCATATATACACAATGGAATATTACTTAGCCATAAAGAAAAATGAAATAATGGCATTTGCCAGTAAATGAATGAACTGCAGAATATCATGCTAAGTGAAATAGCCAATCCCCAAATACCAAAGGCTGAATGTTCTCTCCGATTTGTAAACGCTAACCCAAAACAAGGGAGGTTAGGGAGGGGAATAATAAAAATCCATTAGATTAGATGAAGGGAGGGAAGTGGGGACGGGAATAGAAAAGACAGTAGAATTAATTAGACATAGCTTTCCTAGCCTTGTATTTGAAAACATGACCAGAGTAACTCCACATTATGTACAACCACAAAAGTGGGATCCTAAATAGAATAAATTATTCTCTATGAATGTATAATTTGCCAAAATACATCCTATTGTCATGTATAACTAAAAGGAATAATTTTTAAAAAGAACACACATATAAACTTCTTTGCATTGTCAGCTGTCAGGGTCAAGATGCAATGGGCACATTTACCTGCCAAATGAAAGTTTTTGGGGGGGAGGGGGAGGGAGGAGTTTTTTTTAATTTTTGTCTTTATTTATTTTAGTACTAGGGATTGAATCCAGGGGTGATTAACCATTGAGCCACATTCCCAGCATTTTTCATGTTTTATTTTGAGACAGGGTCCCACTAAGTTGCTTAGGACCTCACTGAGTTGCTGAGACTGGCTTAAACTTGTGAAGCTCTTGCCTCAGCCTCCTGAGCTGCTGGGGTTATAGGCATGTACCACCACAACTGGCCAGATGAAAGTTTTTAATATCACTAGTCAAAAGATCTAGGGCTCTTTGAAGAAGTAGCTGATACTATGACTGAGACAGTAAAGACATAAGTCAGGATAATCCTCAACTATCAGAAGTAAGGAATTTTGTAAAAATCATTAAACTATGTTAAAAGAAAACAGGAAACAATAGAAAGAACTCCCAGTGGAAAGAAAGGTCAAAGCTATTCCCAAAGGCTTCAAGCAGGAATGAATTAAGCAACAAAGTACTATAGAGTTGGATAACAAACAAAAGCTTGGAGTAAATATCCAGATGCTCACATTGGTACAAATAAATGACTAAACAGATAAACAAAAAAGGTTAAATCTCTTATGCAGAATTTCAAATAATTGAGGTGGACATTTGGCCCCCAAGGAGTTAGGCCTAACTTCCTACTCCTTAAGAGGGGGCTCTGCACAGTGACTTACTCCAAAACAATATATATAATGTGGACATGCAGAGAAACATAACTTCACAGTGAGAAACCTGGCAAACACTACATCAGTCAGGTGAGCACAGTTAATATTAACATGAACAATTCACCTTGAGGATATGAAATGAAGGACAGCACTTCATCTGTAATCTGCTTTCCCCAATCCATAACCTGTCTTCATATGAGAAAAACACCAACTGAAAATCTAAAAAGTACCTGACAGGTACTCCTCAACTGTCAGGTCCTTCTCAACCATCAAGGGCATCAGAGAAAGGAAGGTCAGAGAAACTATCGCCACCAAGAAAAGCCTATGGAGACAGGATGACTGAACATCATGTGGGATCTTGGATGGGGTCCTGGAACTGAAAGAGGCAGTACTGAGAGTTCAAAGGAAATACAGACATTACTTAATAAGAGCATACCAGTATCTGTTCATCATGAAAAATTATGTATGATGTTAACACATCTGAGATAGCTCACGTAAGTCATAAGAGAAAAAAACTGGGTAGAAGTTACATAGTAGATCTTTGTACTTTCTTTGCAATTTCTGAATAAACATAAAACTATTCTAAAATAAAATCTTAAGACATGGCTGTATTTTTTCCAAACACCTGCTCGTTTAATTACTCAGAATGTTAATTACTAATAATTGACATTCTTAACTAGTTCTGCATTTTGTTAAGAGCATTTATAACAAAAATATTTCAAATTAATAATGTAAGATAAGTACTTCTTTTATATATTTTATGTTAAAGTAATAACATGTTTAAACTTATTTATCATTATTTATTTTGCTATTGCTAGGTTCTGGATTTTCTAAAAATTTCAAATCTTTAAAGAAAAAAATCTACATTTTAGAGACACTATTTCAAGCCATGGTTAAACTTTTTCAAGAGTGATGATTAAAAAAAATATGTTACAAAAGCAGATTGATCCATTGTGAATGAATCATTCATCCCAAAGAATTTGTATCTTTTGTTTGTTTCTATGTATACCCTTTAAAGTAATAGTATCAAATATTTGCCACTGGGATGTATACAGAATTTGTGACAATAATATATGATGCTTTCTAAAAAAAAAAAATTTAAAAGAATATCAAAGTCAATTTCCTCCATGATGCTCTTCAGAAGTGGTAAAACTAGAGAAACATCAATGGAAGCATGGTTTATGAGTGTTTTATGGGGAAATTACATTTTAGAAATCACAAAAAATATTGGATGCCCAAACTCTGGAATGTTTTCAAATGTAGTTGAATTTCTATGTAAGTTTCTCATTGATATAGCTAGTCATAAAGCCAGTAAAAACAAAGAATCTATGGGGCTGGGATGTAACTCAGCAGTAGCATACCTTATCCAGAATTCAGGAGGCCCTGGGTTTGATCCCGAACACCACAGAATTTTTAAAAAATCAGTGCCTTATTTGTGTAATCAAATAGTAAGTGAAAATACCACTCTTAGGAAAATGTTAAGCCTGAAAAACAGTTAAGACTATCAAAATCAAAATACTCTTAAAGTGGGTTGTATAATAGAAATAGCCTATTGTGAACAGATATGTCACATCATAAAGTATATTCACATTAAATATCCTGTCAGAACAACAAAAAAGACTTTGATGATCATTTAGAAGGAGAAAATGGCTATATTAGATTAGAAAATTATTAAGAAATTATAAACATGATGATATAAAAATTCTCTATGCCATACTAGGCACTTTGACCTGTAATCACAGCTATTTTGGAGGCTGAAGCAGGAGCATCACAAAGTTTGAACCCAGCCTCAGTACCTCAGGAACTTAGCAAAACCCTGTCTCAAAATAATATTTAAAAAGGCTGAAATTCATTGCTTGCCTAGCATGGTCAAGGTTATGAATTTAATCCTCAACACCATAAATAAATTTAAAAGAATAATTCCAAACCAAGCATATAGTATGAGATAACTAGGGCATTTATAGAAAAGAGTGGAAGATATTATGTTGAATACCCCAAAATAATTTAACTATATTTAATTATTTTTTCAGCTCATGATATTAACGTGTCTAATCTCCACTTCTGTTACTTCAAATTAATCCATTAAAATATGGTAAAAGGTATATGTACTTTTTTAATTATTTCAAAATATGAGTATACTCAACTCTATTCTAAAAACTTCCTTTGAAGCACATAGAGGTACCAACATTTATATAAAATGAAATCAGGCCATTTCCCACACAAAGTAATATTTAGTAAGTACTAATATATACACACATAATTTCAAAAGAAATTAAAATTGATGAAATCAAAAGGTCACTGGTATGCTTTTAAATGCTATTTTGAATATAGGAGAAACACTTAATAGATTTCTCCAAAAAGAACTTCTGACAATATATAAAGCATGCTTATTAGAAGGTCAATTCCCTTGCTTGCAAGGAGTAAGAGAAACTACTTGATGAATGTAAAACTTTAATAAGATATACAAATATGCTTTCTAAATTTAAAAAGGTAGAAAATGTCTGTTTAAAAAAGTCTATTTTTGGTAAATGTATCTGTTTTTTTTTTTTTTAAGAATCTACTGACTTTTCTCTTACACACTGTAATTATTTCAGTGGTTTTAAGCATCATGTAATATCAATAGCTGGCATTTTAAAATATCACCATCCTCTTTCTATCTATAAAATTGATTATCAAATTTTGCTCAGAATAATTTCAATCCAATTTGGAAAAGATCTGTGTGTGTGTGTGTGTGTGTGTGTGTGTGTGTGTGTGCGTGTGTGTGTAAATACATAATATTTTAAACAATTCCCCTGACACTTGGGTCCTATCAAAGACATATTGTCTGTGTGTGGTGCTGGAATGGAACCCAGAGACTCTCACATGTTAAGCAAGTGCTCTGCCACCAAGCTACACACACAGCCCCAAAGACCTTAATAAGCAGAAGATAATTAAAATTTTTTGAGATAATGAGAATTGTCAAACAAGATAATTCAATCAAAACAAAATTAAAAGTATATTTAAAAATATTATTGATGAAAATTGCAGAAGTTCAAAGTTAGAGGAGAAATTAAAAATCAAACTGCAGAAACCTACTGCATAAAATTGGAAACCTAGAGGGAATGGGTGATATCCTAGTAAAAATACACATTAACAAAAGATTAAAATAAGAAAACTATGAATGATCAATCAGTTTAAAAAGTTTGAAATGATGCTTATAGATCTCCCATTGGGGAAAAAACCAGGAACACAGAGATTCACAGTTGAGTGTTAACTGACTTTTAACAATTTGGATTTACTTAAATGGATTTACTTAAAATGTTCATGATCTAGGAAGAAGAGTGACATTATTACTTAAAATAAATTCTTCAATTAATTAAAGTTAATTTTCTCAATTAATTTAAATTAATTTTTTCAATTAACTTCATGGTATAATTCCAAGCAAGGCCTTATCTAGTCAAGATATTTCAGCAGACATAGAATATCAACACAGTATTTAGCATACCATTACAAACACACTGCCAATTAAACTGACTTACTCAACTAAAGACAAAATGTATTCTCAATCAAAATGTTGATTAATTTAGTTCCATAAAATCCATGAACTTTTTTTTTCACAAATTCTGGCTTTATTAGAAATAACATATTTAAACGTAAATAACCTCGTGGGTTTCATACATCTACTTTTCCATTTTTAATATTTTTCCTGCTTTAACACAGTAAGAATAACAATTAGAACAATTCCTCCTCCCTCTGTGCCAGGGTTCCCCAGAAATCACCCAACTAGCTGTATTATGATGACAAGTAATCAGAGCCTCATGAAGGGATGTTTCCCTGAAGTAAACCTTGCTGAAATAATAAAGGAGAGCAAGGCTCCCTCCTCAGTGAAATCAGATTCACTCCCTCAGGGCATGGAGTGAATCTGATTTTTCTTCACTCTTTCCACCTTTTCCATACCTGCTGCCTATTTATCCAGAAGTTTCTGGAAGATCTCTCTGAGGCTGCTCTGGGCATGCCTATAGACATGACCCACAGTATCCCCAAGCCAGGATCTCTCCAAGGCTAGTCTGAGAGCTCTAGGAGTCCCTGTAGATATGACTCATAGTGTCCCCAAGCGAGGCAACGCTCTGAGGTTGCTCTGAGGAGAAGGGACCTCTGGATGATCCTACACACATGACCCACAGTACCTTCAAGTCAGGCATCTGCCTGAGGATGGTCTGAAAAGAATGGAGCTCAAGGTGTCCCTATAGCCTTGACCCACAGCTGGTCTGAGAACGGAGTTACAGCCTTGATCCACAGTATCCCCAAGCTGTGTGTCTCTCTAGGGCTAGTCTGAAGAGAAGGGAGCCCTTAGACGTCCCTGTAGATACAACACAAAGTGTCCCCAACCTGGGAGTATTCCTGAGTCTGCTCTAAGAGGAAGCTCCAAGTCCCCATACACAGGAACCACATTGTCCCCAAGCTGGGAGTATGCCTGAATCAGCTGAGAAGAAGGCAACTCCCTGTCCCAATATATAAGACGCACGGGGGTACCCAAGCTAGGAGAGTCTCCTCAGACCAGAGGCACACAGGGGACCTAGTGTTCCCGAGCTGAGAGTACCTCCTTAGACACCTGGCACAAGGAGGACCCAGGGTCCCGGAGCTGGGAGAACCTCCTCAGACCCGAGGCACACAGAGGACCCATGGTCCCCGAGCTGGGAGTATCTCCTCAAATCCTAGGAACACGAGGACCCAGGGTCCCTAAGTTGGGAGACCTCCTCAGACCCCAGGCACATGGAGGACCCAAGGTCCCTGCGCTGGGAGTATCTCCTCAGACCCGAAGCACACAGAGGACCCAGGGTCCTCGAGCTGGGAGGACTTCCTCAGATCCGAAGCAGGTCTGAGGAGGAGCTCCGTATCCCACACACATGACCTACACACAGTACCTTCAAGCTGCACGTCTCCCGGAGGCGGGTCTGAAGAGAATGGAGCTCTGCCGCTCCCTGCTGGTAGACCCACCGTGCTCGCGAAGTTCCTGAGGCAAGAGCTCCACTCCTCACCCTGAAGAAGGCAAGACAAAGGTGGAACCGCGAGGCACCTCCCCCTGCTGACCCCGCCCAGTGCGGGACTCTACTCAGCGCAGAGGCACCACTCCCGATGGCCACGCCCAGTGCAGGCCTCTGCTCATGCGCAGAGCAGTTGCATACCTGGTCTTCTGGGAGAGTCTCAGCGCCTCTTTGGAACCACAGCTGTTACTGAATAGAATCTGTTCCACTTCTCTAAGTCTGGCTGTGTTTATTTGTGGCATCACCAGAAGTGGAATCTCAGGAGAGGAGAAAAGAGAGGCCAAGAGATGACCTCTCTGAGACTCCATCCCTGTACTCAACCAGGCCACACACTGCTGGAGCCAGGCAGGCAGAGGCACAGACATGAGCACCTGCAGGAGCCCCTGGACACTTCACTCTTGTGCCTAAGGGCAGAAGGTCTAAAAAAGGTCAACACAGAGGCCTCTGTGAAAGGTAGTCTTTGAGCCGAAGTGACTGAGTGATATAGCCAAGGACTGCCGAATTTTAGGATCAAGGGTTTTAAGAAAAGCAGTTAAATCCCAGCCCATGTTGACTGCTTTCAAGGTTGGGAGACCCTGAGTTCACACCAAGACTCCAGCAGCCTCTGGGAGCTGCAGGATGCACCCCCTTGCCCTGGGGCATTCTAGATAATTCAGTCTGTCTTTCTTTCCCAGCTCTCACCATGAATGCCTCTGGGAGGTGCACAGTTATTCCCAGAGATTCTGGACAGTCTAATTTGGTGTTCTGCCCACACAGCCCTCACCAGGCAGGACCATCAGAGCTATGTGCTACATGCTATCCCAAGTGCCCTGGAGGACCCTGGCAGTGGAGACTGGTGTTCTGCCCATGTAGCCCTCACTCCAGAAGCCTATGGGGACTACAAGTAGCAGATTCACCCTCATACTCCATGCAGCCTTCACTGCAGAGGCATCTGGGGGCTTTAGGACCCCCATGATCATGGACATTGTAGCCTTGTGCTAGGTTGGTGCAGCCCACACTAAAATTGTCCTCAGAGCTTTGAGGCCCCAGGAATTCTGGGTATTGTAGTCCAGTTTGCTCAAGTATTCCTGACCTGAGAGTTCTAGAGCTGTGGTCTATTGATTACTCTGGGCAGTGCAGTCCATCCCACCTAAGTGGACCTCACCATCAAGGCTCCCAGTATCAGCACACCACAAGCCTGCCTGGACATCCCTGAGGAGTCTGGGTAGTGCAATACAAATCTTGCCCATGCAGTCCTCAAGAGGTAGGTGTCTGGGAGCTGCAGGCCCAAGGGGATTCTAGTAGTGTATTCTTGCCTTCAGTCTGCACAGCTCTCACTGTGGAGGCCTCCGAGTGGCAGGCCACACAGGCACCTGGACATCTCCAAGAATTCTGTGTAGTGTAGTTCAGTTCTCCACCCTGCAGCCCTCACCACAGAGTATTTTGGGAGCTGCAATTTCCTGAGGATTCTGGTTAATGTAAGTCAGTGTTTTGCCTATGTGCCTCTTCTGTGAGGGCCAGGATAAATGCAGGCCACATGCTTGCTTGGTAATGCAGACTTCACTGTGGAGGGTTCTTGGACTGTAGGTTTCACAGTCACCAGGGTATCCCCAGGAATTATGGATAGTATAATCTGACCTTTAGCATGATCAGCCTTTGCTGTGGAGGCCTCTGGGAGTTGCAGGCCACATGCTTGCTTGGTAATGCAGACTTCACTGTGGAGGGTTCTTGGACTGTAGGTTTCACCGTCATCAGGGTATCCCCAGGAATTATGGGTAGTGTAATCTGACCTTTAGCATGAACAGCCTTTGCTGTGGAGGCCTCTGGGAGTTGCAGGCCACATGCTCACCCAGGCAACATGTCCCCCTAATGATTCTGGGTAGTATAGTTAAGTTCTCTTTCCTACAATTCTCATCACAGAGGATCCTGGGAGCTGCTGGCACTAAGTTTTGTGGGTAACATAGTTCTGTGTTTTACCCATTTACCACAGAGGGTTCTGAAAGCTATAGCCCCTGAGGATTGTAGGTAATGTAGGCTAATGATCTGATCACCACAGAGGAGCCTAGAAAGTGCAGCCCATGAGGATCCTGGATAATGTAGTCTAGTGTTTGCCTGAACAGCCCTACTGGGAGGACCACAAGAACTGCAGACCCATGTTTTCCCTGGTACCCTGGAGATTCTAGATACTGTAGCTCTCATCACAGAAACCTCTGTGAGTTATAGGCTGAATACTAGGCTCAGGGAAGACATACTCTGCATTAAGCCTGGTGTTCTGCCTTTGCAGCTCTCAACTCAGAGGCTCCTAGGAGCAGCAGCCACCCAAGGGATATTAGAAGCACAGTTTGTCATTCTGCCACACAGACCTCACTGTAGAGGTCTCTACAAGCTGCAGATCTCTGAGGGCTCTGGGTCATGCAATCTGTCATTTGGTCCATACTCCTTCAATGCAGAGGACTCTAGGAACTGCAGATCCTGAAGGATTCTGGGTAGCACAGTCCATCATAACCTTTGCAGCTCTTGCCCCAGAGCCTCCTGGGAGTTGCTGGCCACATTCTCCATAGCCACTCCTGAGGACTCTGAGCAGTGTAGTAACCAATAAATATTCTCTTTTCTACATTGTATCTGAAATAAAAGGGCCACACTGCCATTTTAAAACCTGGCTTTTAGCTGTTTTAACTATGTCTATTTCTTATTATTAACACTGTTTCCTAAATGTTTAAGAGATCAAAAGCTATCCCTTCACTTTTGCTAGTCCTGCTAACATATGCAGACCTCTGATTATAATTATTATACACTATGGATTCTAAATTTTACTTTAAAAGTTAAACTTAGTTAATTGTGATACTAACCATTACTAGCTTTTTCATATTTTAGATATATTCATTTTCTTACAGTAAATGTAAGGCTTGGGAGAGCCCTTTACCAAGATAATGTTCTCTAAACTAAAACTATCTGAAGCAATAGTCTCTTGCAGGTTTATATAGAAATAACAAATTTGATTGGTATTTATGATATTTAATGTTTTATAACTGGATAAGGGTAACCTGTTATTAATAAGTTATATATATAATTTTGTGTTACTCTTTATACTGGGATGTGAATTTAAATGTATTTTTGGAAAGTAATAAGCAGAGCCTGGTTTGTTTAAAGGCTGATACTGTGAAATATGCATTTTGCCACTTTTTCCACAAAAAGGAAGTTAAGAGCTCTCTTAGCCTTCTGTTTTTTTCATGTTTCAGATGTAATGTTGTTTGTTTGTTTGTTTGAATTATAAAGAAAAGAGGTTTATTTTGGCTCAAAGTTCTAGTCCGAGATTGAAGGGCTGAATCTAGTGATGACCTTCTTGGCAGAATGTCAAGGTGGCTCAGGAAATCACGTAAGAGGGAATGGATTGTAATTCTAAAGATACCTGGTTTCTATAGCAGCCTCACTCTCTAGTTAACCCATAAGTCAATTAATCTGTTCATGGTGTAAATGGATCAATCCTTCTCAAGTTAACCCATAAACCTATTAATCTGCTAATGATGTGAATGGATCAACCCCTCAAAGGACAAAGCTCTGATTGCTTTATCACCTCTGAAAGGTCCCATCTCTTTTTCTTTCTTCTTTTTAACTGGGGATTTTACCCAGGGGTATTTTCTACAGAGCCACATCCCCAGTTCTTTTTAATTTTTTATTTTGAGACAAGATCTTGCTATATTGAAGAAGTTGGCCTCAAACTTGGGATCTTCTCCCTCAGCCTCCAGGGTCATTGGGACTTCAGGTGTGTACCACCTTGCCTTGTGGTTCTACCTCATTTATTTATTTATTTTATTTGTTCAAATTAGTTATATATGGCATATTGACATATTATACACAAATGGAGCACAACTTCTCATTCTTCTGGCTAAACATGGTGCAGAGTCACTCTAGTTGTGTAATCATACATGTACATAGGGTAATAATGTCTGTCTCATTCTACCGTACTTTCCATCCCCAGCCCTAACCCTCCCCTCACAGCCCTCTACACAAACTTCCTTACCTCCCCCACCCCATTATGGATCATTATTTGCTCATCAGAGAAAACATTCAGCTTTTGTTTTGGGAGGATTGGCTCATTTCACTTAGCATGGTATTCTCTAGTTCCATCCATTTACCTGCAAATGCCATAATTTCATTCTTCTTTATGGCTAAGTAATATGCCATTGTGTACATGTACCACATTTTCTTTATCCATTCATCTGTTGAAGGGCATCTACGTTGGTTCAATCACTTAGATATTGTGAATTGAGTGAGCTATGCTGATTTTAAGTCCTTAAAGTATAAAATGAAGAGTGGGATAGCTGGGTCAAATGGTGGTTCCATTCTGAGTTTTCTGAGGAATCTCCATACTGCTTTCCATAGAGATTGCACCAATTTGCAGTGCCACCAGCTATGTATGAGAGTACCCTTTTCCCCACATCTCTGCCAACACTCACTATTACTTGTCTTCTTGGTAATTGCCCTGTACGGAGATGAAGTCTTAGAGTAGTTTTGATTTGCATCTCTCTAATTGCTAGAGATGATGAACATTTTTTCATTTGTTTGTTGATCAATTGTATTTCTTCTTCTGTAAAGTGTCTGTTCAGTGTCTTAGCCTATTTATTGATTGTATTATTTGTTTTTAGGGTGTTAAGTTTTTTGTATTCTTTATATATCCTGGAAATTAGTGCTTTATCTGAGGTGTGTGTGGTAAAAACTTTCTCCCATTCTGTAGGCTCTCTCATTATGTTATTGATTATTTCCTTTGCTGAGAAGAAGTGTTTTAGTTTGAATCCATGCCATTTATTGATTCTTGATTTTACTGCTTGCACTTTAAGAGTCTTGTTTTAAAAAAAAAAGTCAGGTCCTAAGCCACCATGATGAAGATTTGGGCCTACTTTTACTTCTATTAGGTGAAAGGTCTCTGTTCTAGTGTATAAGTCTATAATCCACTTTAGTTGATTTTTATGCAGGGTGAAAGATAGAGGTTTAATTTCATTTTGCTACATATGGATTTCCAGTTTTCCCAGGGCCATTTGTTTAAGAGGTTATCTTTTCTCCAATGTATGTTTTGGGCGCCTTGGTCTAGTATGAAATAACCGTATT